TTCAAGGATATTTGGGAACAATGCACTCAGAAATCTCTTTTAAGACTGCCTGCTACCATAAAAATGGGTTTAAAAGAGGAGATAAAAGAGGATACAACTGAGAATCAGGTTGTTTTGGATTTGGATTTAAAAATGACAAATTACAAGAATGATATGGAAAAAGATGTTACATTGGATTTACAAATGAAACTGGCTGATGTCTTAATAACCAAAAGGGACACATACATAATAAATCAGAAAAGTGACTTGGACAACTGTCTTATCTTGGACTTACAAAAGAAATGTGTTATACTCATGAAGAAGTTCCTGAGAAAAGACAAAGATGTCTTCATCGAAGGTTATGGGCCATAATCTATCCTGCTCATATAATACAGGTTGATAGACAGATGCTTTTTGATTTCCCACTTTATGGCTGAGAGAGAGTAACTGGCCCAAAGACAAGAATTCTGTGCCTCTGGGAGGACTCCAGCCTGGGTCTACCAATTTACCCATTACATCAAACTTGCTCATATATGTATAAAGATAAACGGTAAATAAATAGATAGATAAATAAATAAGCAGGCAAGCAAGATGCAACTGAATTCCTGCCAATTAGCTGTAGGACAGATTCCATTCTGTTTTGGACTGCTCAGATAATTTAAATATTTTCATAATTTAGAAGAAATCCAACTATTTCAAGCCATTTCACATTCAGTCTGGAAGTTTACTAATTTTAGTGGATATTAATGAAAACAAAAATTATCCAACACCCTTTTTATTTAGTTGTAATATACCATAAATCCATAAATACAGATACAACTGTAAATTATAGAACAAAAAATACAGTTACCTTTTTGCCCCAATTCCTGTGCCCCAGCCTGATAATTTCGTTGAATGTTTAGACAGACCTTTCTTCTTGGAACCCTTTTTCTTGGGTGTTGGTGACTCTGTCACCTGTATAAAGAAATCACTATGTCACAATAATCATAAATGTTCAAAACACTAATTTCAGTTACCCAGAGCCCAGTAAGAGCTCAAACAACAAATCTGCATTAATTTTATCCCAAAATAAGTCCTAAGAGATAGCTTCTTAAAATAAAACAAATTCTGTTTTATAAATAAGTAAAACTATTCTGAAAATAATGATCACAATGAATTGTAATAAAATTGGAAGCATATAAATTTCTTAAATACATACGTATATACGAACATAGTAGGAAGATTTCTTTTCTCCTGAAGAATTTTTTTTTTTCTGGAGAATCTATTTCCAACCTGGTCATTCAGGTCTTCCAATGGTCCAGCCATTACCATAGTAATTGAGTCCATCCACCTTGCTACTAGTCATTTTCTTCTCTTTCCTTCCACCTTTCCCAGCATTTATAGACTTCAAAGAGCTAAGTCTTCATATAAAATGGGTCCAAATTATGATAATTTGAGCCTGGTCATTTGTACCTTAAGTGAGAACTCTGGATTGATTATTCTTTTATAGCCTATCTATGATATTTTCAGGAGTTTTCAACACCAAATTTCAGAACGTCAATACTGTTTCTATCTTGCTTCTTCAAAGTCTATCTTTCACTTTCATAGAGTATCACAGGAAAAATCATTGCTTGCATGATTCTGATCTATGTAGATTTCAACACAAAGGCCTTTCTATAATCAATAAAACACATACCAACCTCTTTCTGGTATTCTTTGGGTTTCTCAATTATCCAGCTTGCATCAGCAATGCTATTTCATGTTCCTTGGACCTTCCTAAAGCCAGCTTGAACATCTAGCATCTCCCTCTCTATGTAGGGAGGGATGCTAGGATGCTAATTTGTATTGGATGATCATAAGCATTATTTTGCTAGTGTGTGAAATTAAGGATATTTTGCACACACTGTTAAAACTCCATACTTTGACACTGGTATTTAGACTGATTTCTTCCAATCTTTTAGCCACTGTTATGCTCCAGATTTGCTGACATAACTTGGTTAGAATTTTTACTGATTCTTCTGTTGTTTCCATATTTCAGTAGATATTCCATTAATTCCTCTAGCCTCCCAAGTTGGTAATGGCCAGACTGCTGATCTAACTTCATCTTCTAGTAGCAGAGGTTCTAATAGGGAATATCTTCTATGGTATCTTACATGGTGACATTTTTTACTATACAGAATTTCAGTCTACTTCCATCATTTTGATGTTCTTTGAATCTTTCTGTCCTTTGGCATCCTTTAGCATACCAATTCGAATCTGGAACCCCCTTCTGATTCCAGAGATCTTTTGGAAGACTTTCCTTATTTTTTCATGTCTGTTTCCATCTTCAATGTTTTTACAGATGTTGTTGTAATACTGTTTCTTGTCAGTTCTAACAGCTCTCTGAAATTCTTTATTAACTTCCTTCTGAGATCTTTGCCTTTCTTGGTTTGGCTTCTCTTCTCTTAGAAATTTCTACAGTTCGTTCTGACATCGTTTTTTCTTCTGTTTCTTGATCTTTTGCAGTCATTTTCACATTCATCCTTAACAACTTTTTAAAGTTTATTTCACAGTTCCTCTGGCTTCCTATCAAGGAGATTAAGGACTTCAAAGTGATTCATGATGTTCTCCTTAAAATTGGTGGGTATGCGCAAGATCATATTGTAGAAACTGTTTGGCTTTCTTCTTTCACTTTTAGCTTAACTTGGAGCTTACATACAAGGTTTTTGTAATCTGTTCAACAGTCAGCCCCTGAACATGTCTCTGCTGTTATAACTGAGCTCTTCCATCTCCTTCTACAAACCATATAGTGAATTCTATCCATGTGGTTTTCTTGGTAAAATACAAGATATTTTTTCTATACTTCCCACAATTTCAATATGACTTAACATTCAAAACACAACACATTCATTAATTGTATATGTAAGATCCTAAGATTTTTTCCTATATGCCTTTACAGAAAGAAGCTGTATAGAAGGGGCTGGAAAATGCAAACTCTTCCTTCATATGAATGTATAGAGAATAGCACAGCTGTAATAGATTGGAAAATTGCAATGTTTTCCCCCGGCTAGTGTTTTGAAGAGAAACCAAACTTCTGAAATAAGTTCTCTATACATTAGATTCACAACTGCTCTAGAAGAAACATGAGTCTCTATTTGTTCTCTGTCTACTTGCCAGCAATTAACTAATAAACAAAACTCAGACAAAGGCCAGGGTGGCTGGAAGGCAAGATTGCTAATGGCTGGGTTACTGAGTTGCTTGTTGGCTGGCAGTGCTAACATTCTAGTGGAACTGGAAGTATTTGAGACTAGAACATGTAGGTTTGTATAAATAACACAAAATATATAAGATAGGGAAGAGAATGACAAGAAACAAGAGAAAAACTGAATTATCAGAGACTGACAGAAAGAAGTAGAGTCACCTGAGAGCTATGTGGAAGCAAAGGAGAAATAATTTAAGGTCTGACATAAATGGTGAAGTTTACTTCTAAGTGTTTCATCATTCTTGAATCTCCCAGAGACAGAAAAGCAGATATCCTATTGCTTGAGCCACATGAAGCCAAAAAAGCCTCAGTAAAGAGATTAATGCAGTAAACTGCATTTCCAGAATCTATATTGTGTACAATATAATTAGAAAATGAATTCATGCATATGGTCTCATATGCATCTTCCCAACATTCAAAGTGTTGTGTCAGACCAAATACATAAATAACATCAATACATACCTCTTCATATAACTTACATGAGTCAAAGAATAGATGGTAAAATAGGACATATTCTACATGGAATGAGACTATTTTATATGGTTTTCTCTTTCCACTGGTACAGTAGATTATTTCCAACAATTATAATTTGTGACTTCAAAATTTGATTTTACACTCAGTTATGACAAAAATGATAATTCTTATTTACTGGATTTTAAGTCAATTAACCAAGAGATCCCAAAATCTTAAAAAATATTGAATTAACCTTTGAAACATCTTGTGTTGCAGTTTTCTTTGCATCTACAGATCCATGAACCTTCTTCCCCTTTTTTGAAATTTGTTTGATACCAAGAAGAAATTTATTCCGTCTAGTAAACAAAAACAGCTAACATTACTATATGTTAGTTTTTTCAAAAAGTGGCAGCAGCTTTCAACATTTACTTTCAATATTCAGAGCATTACTTTACTAATAATTCTTATCATGTTTTTTAAAAAAATAGAGTCTTCTTTAGGGGACACCCAATTTTAATAAGAACTGGAGTTCTGTGCTTTAAAACATTCTAATCTAACTTCATAAATGAAAAGGTAAAGAAAGAGAGTTACCAGTATGAGATGTATAATAAACAACATATACAGTAATAAAAGCAGCTACTGAGATCTTAGTCCAATGATTATTGCTATAATAATTAACATTCATTACAAACTGTAGAAGTATGTCTAAGCAGCCATTTTAATATGCAAAGATATTTTGGTATAATTGAAGGAAGAACAAGTATCGCTACAGCTATAGTTTCTGCAACTGCATGGCCCATAACACTGACAGAATTTTGTCAGTAAAATGTTCAAAACATTTCACACTTACTTTTTAAGATACTCTTGAACCTCATCAGCCCAGTTCACTATTCGCAACAATTTATCCTCATTTAGTGCTCTGAACACAAGCATGACAAAATATTCAAGGAAACGGGAGTTCTTCTTAAATTTCAGTACTGTGTAAATGTAAAATACATGTAGTTATTCCATGCCATTATATGTGTAGCACTTTCAGCTTTTAATTACTGCTCTTGATAGAAGACTCCATTAATCAAACTAATTTATATTATTTTAAAAGGGATTAACATCTAAAAATAGATTTCTAAAATTTAAAGTTTTAATCTACACTATACTCCAAAACAGAAATTAAAGCTTGACATTAAAAATAATAAAATAATGATGCTTGTTATAGAGAAGTAATTATTTACAATTATTTATTAGATATATTTTTATGATGACAACCATTTGGATACAATCAGATCTGACATGTGCCTGGGTCGCAGAATAACTGGCAATTCTATGCTAGTTGAGGAAGGTTGTTGGCATGGCTTCAAAAATGTAAGTTTGCACAGTTTTGCAGAAATCAAAGCTTGAATAACAGAGAATCTAAAGAAGACCACCTGTAGCAGTGATTTAATAAATCAAGGGTAGTGAAGTACAGAAATACAGTGTATCTAATTCCTCCCTAGATTAATCACAGAAACTAAATTGTTTTGAAATTTGAAAGCAAATCAACAAAAAGTTATCATCAACCCTCAACTTGCAATTACTGCAACATTCTGTAGATTACTCTGTTCTGGACCTTCAGAAGTTATATTTCATCAATAATATGGCAACTAGGCTTTAGGTTGATTTCTAAAAATTTACAGCACATGATACCATTCTTACTTTAGTTATGCTCCTGGAGCAATATAAAACTGTGCTTAAGACCTTTAACATCCTAAACAGCTTTGGACCAAAAAGTCTGCCTGCTCCTGCTCCCATATAAATCTCCAGGCCTATAAATGCAACTAGAGGGGCTTCTATCTGAACCCATCGCCTTCTGCAGAATAGTTTTTAAAAAGAAGCAGGACTTTTTCTGGCCATTCAGTTTTTGAAAATGCAGTATGTTTATCTCCTGGCACTAAACAAAACCCTGCTTCCTTCACAAGATATACAGATTCTTACAAACTGTGCTCCAATTTAGCAGAACAACTAAGGTACCAAAAACAAAAGATTTGCCTTGAGGTATTTTTTTTTAGAAAACTATTTGAAAGGTACACAGGCTTCTAGTTAAATTTATACTTCATTGCATTTTCAAATCTGTATACATATAGTGAAAAAAATACCTAAAATCCTAACAGTACACTTTAAAAATAATTACCTTCCTTATAAGCATTCTTTGATTGCCAGTTTGAAACTACAGGATACAAGAATAAAGGATCTTCTTCTCCAGTAAGTTCTTGTCCTAGACAGAGCAGATACAACTAAATTCAACAGAATGAATAACAATGTTCAGATACATTGGATACAATTCATCAAAAAGTATCATAACTTTAAAAAACTTTTCTGTTTTTAATATGCTTTTACTTTTTTCTTGCTACATACATATCCACAGACCACATACATTTGTTCTTTTTTTTTTTCAAAATTTTAAAATATATATTTCTTGAATTTTAGCCATTTATCTTATCTCTATTCGTTTTGTGGAACATAAAAGGTTTGTCAAATATACATCAGCGGAAATTCAAGATCACTAGAGATGTAATAATTTTGATTAACACATGCTCAAAATTTGTACAGGAACAAGAAATAAATGATTCAGAAGGGTATTTTTAATCAAATGTTTTAATAAACATATTTCATTTATTCATTATTATGGTCCTGCTACTTTTTACTTTGTTGTAGATCAGAAAATTATGGCCAGAGTTTTTAATCAAGTTGTATATCCTTTATTAGACTGGAATCTAATAAAGTTGATAATTAAGTTGTATATCCTTTATTAGACTGGAATATTACCCCATTTAAATCTAATTTTTCTACACTGAAAGTATTTTAAACTAACACATCCAAGTTTAATTTAACTTGGAAAATATATGGAAACTTTTAAATGTTTTGCAACATTTAATTAATTTTAATTATTTATATGGTATTGTTTTTTTAATGACTTGGGTTTTTGGTTTTAATTGTGAGCCACCCAGAGTCACCCGTTGGGGGAGGTGGGCGGCATACAAATTAATTAATTAATTAAATAAATAAATAACACTTTGTTTTTTCAATTCCATATCTAAGTTATTCTCAACTAGATTATTTATTGGTATTTCAATCTTCAACTGAATGGATTAATACATGATTCAGTTTCAGTACAAAATACAAATTATACCATAAATAACATACCCCAATAAACAATAAAATGCCATTACTAAAAATTAAAATCCTAACATCTTTATATATGTGAATATACATGTACAGTGGTACCTCTAGTTACGAACTTAATCCGTTCTGCGACTCTGGTTGCAACTCGAGTTGGTCTCAAGTCGAGGCAAATTTCCCCATAAGGTTCAATG